ACTTAAGTACAAAAAATATTTTTACTTTTACTCAGGTAATATTCCCAAAGGAGGCTTTAACTTTTACCAAAGTAATTTTTTGGTAAGATACTTGTACTTTTACTTAAGTATCACTTTGTGGTACTTTATACAACACTGAAGGTGCTTAATAATAACAAAAAAAATCCTCAAACAGACAGATAAATGATTATATCTCAAAGCTGAATGCAGACATACTTGTGCAGCTTTTTCTTTCTGTCTGCTGGTCTTGGCGCTGAGCTCTCTGAGCTCTCGTTCTGCCTCCTCTTTCTTCAGCTTGGCCTGGTTCAGCTGCTGTCGCAGCTCCATACATACCTACAGAGAGCAGCAGCTAATTAACAATGAAGCTCTAACCAACATTACTGCATGCCCAGTGGTTAACAACAAGCAGACTTCTAACAGACGTTTAATTGCTTCATCATATCTGCACTTTAAAAAGGCTGCACCTGAATCATCCAAATTAATAAGTCCAATATGAATTTCCCAAACTAAAACTCTTGTTTCTTAATGCATGATGTTTACATTCTATTTGATAAGTCATTCCTCTGCTGCAAGCATGAAACCATACAACAAAAGTTCKAAACACAACTAAGCATATTAAACTTGGTTCAGCAGCTGAAGGTAGTCACTCGTATCCTGGAGTTCAAAAAGACTGAAAATAAACACCAAACCAAATATTTTGCTGCCATCCAGTGGAAATACAAAAGCGTTACAATCAGACGGCATTAGCTGCACTCTGCAGCCTGCCACAACGATTAAAATTATTTTTCTTGGGAATTGGATWATCTACAAATGTATATTTCAGTTTTATGTGGGAATACTGCAGCTGTATTCTGTTAAAAAGACCTCTTCTCAGGTTTCCTGCATTGTGTTAATTAAAACTGCTAACTACAAATAATAAAAACCKTGAATAAAAAGGAAAAAACATAAGATGCATGTACCTTAGCATKGTCTTGCTCCTGATTGGTTAGCTTGCTGAGAGTTTCTTCCAGCTGATTGGTCAGTGATTTCTGCTCCCTGTGAGCTCGGTCTAACTGTCCTTCTAACTCTGCAACACGCTGAGAGAGGCTCAACACCTATTGTACACATTAAATAACAAATTCAATGCAATTTAGGAAAAACACAAAAGATAAATAATWATATAAGTTTGTGTGACTAGACAAGCATGCTCAAATCAGGAATTGTAAAAATAGCTATCCTTAAATCAGGTCAGTTTCTGAGTTCTCTACACACAGAGTTACCATCTCTGCGAGCTCTTCTTTCTGTTTGTGAGCCTCCGTTCGGCCCTCGTTTCTGGCCTCTGCCAGCCTCGTCTTCAGAGCATCTGCTTCTTTGTCCAGCTGCTGCCTCTGTCGCACCACCTCCCTGGTTAACTGCTCACACTGCACCTCCATCTGCATGAACACAGATACACAGAGCATCATCAGCTTTTTTGGAGGAGGAAGTGAAAGACATTGAAAACCATCTAAAAAGAAGCAAAACATTCAATCTTTGTCGAAAATGCAGTGCGAGTCAAAACATTTGAGAGGCTACAAGTTTCACAGACCCTGCTTTTATGTAGATTCGCTTCTTCTGCTATCGCCATAGCCTCCTTGACCTGCAAACAGGCTGACCACTCCTTTTGTTGAGCCTCTCGCTGACTCGCCCTCAGGGCATGCAGAGCCAGCAGTAACTCATCACGCTCCCTAAAGAGAAAACAGAAGCTCACGCACAGTCCGTCTGTTTTCGTTTCGCTCTTTAACCGCCAACACGTCAGTGACGAGCAACACGCATAACTCAAGCGCAAGCCGGTGTTACCGCTTACTTTGTGAGYGCGTCGAYAGCCTGAACGTGCAGATTAGCGTGAGTCCCGGCCAGCACCGCCTCRTGCTGTGCACACCTCAGACACAGACCGGCCACACGAGGAGCTCCGTCAGCTCTCAGTGCCTCTGCAGCCTGTTTCTCGCTGTCTTTCAGACGAGCCTTCAGCCTCTCACACTCCTTGTGACTCGCCGATAAATCCTGTCTATTACCCACAGCAAAAGACACGATGTGATCAAAGAAAAATGTGCAAAAATACAAGGTTTTATAGTTAATAAATATTACACTGACCTGAGAGAGATGAGCTGAGCCTCCATGCTTTCTATCTGGGCCTGGTGGATCACTTTCAACTGTTCCTGTTCAATGCAGATAACCAAACTTATATCTTTAAATGTTTTATTGGGGTGAGGCAGCACATTTTCATACAAAGTTAATAAACACGGCCTTACCAGTTCATTTGTCCATGTTTTGTGTTCTGTTCTCTGCATCATGTGCTCTGAATTGGAGACTAAGTGGCTGCTGTCATTCAGCTAAAAAGAGGATTTATAAAGAACTACTTGTTTATTAGAGATCATTACTTTAAAAAATACCAGCATGATCCTCATGTTAAGCCTAGTAGTAAGTAGTTTGCAATGCATGCTGGATTTACCACCTACATAAATGACATTTCATATAGATAACTCCTATTTATAAATCACAACTCAGTGAACGTAATTAAATTTATATCCCAAAAGAGTAAATACAAACATTTCTAACACAACAAAGCAGTTTTTCTGCAGATTACCGTGGAGTTTTGGATGGTATAATCTTTTAGAGATTCATTCRCAGCCCTGGATTTGAACTCAGACTGAAGCTTCTCGTTTTCCACCACCACCACTCTGACCCGCTGCTTTAATCCCTGCAGCTCATCCTACGCATACATGAAAGGAGTCAATTCAAACTCCTCCTGATTAGGACCTTAGTTAAAAAGAGAATGGTGTAAAATGCAAACCTTGCAGAACTTGACCTCCGCTTCAAGATGTTGGATGTACTCGGATTGATCGTTAATTGTTGGCACTAAATCTTGATGAGCAGCCACACTGAACCTGCTGTCCTTCTGCACTCTCTACAAGCAGAGAGAGGGGACAAAATGARGTCAACAAAAAAATTCAGTTTCTACAGGAATATGTCCTAAAACTATGAATGCATTCTATCCTGACAGATGGTTCACAGTGAGCTTCCTATAACTGTAATGCATTCAGCTGTTTATTCATTCAGTGCTGCACATCGTACCTTGGATGGAGACTGTTGTTCTGATGGAGAGAGAGGAGTGGGGATTTCTTTGCATTGCTTCAATAAGAGGCTCTTCAGCTGATTGACTGCAAACAAACAAGAGAAACCTTTCATAAGAACTTGGTACAGTGTCAACACAAACAGGACCGCACAAACAAGCACTGACTTTCTGACAGACAGATAGTGAGTCACCTGCTTCACTCTGTGTTTTTTGACTCCAAATCGTTTTGTCCTCTTCAGCCACTGCTGTAAAAAAGGAATCATCGCCGCCTCTGGCAAACTCTCCATCAGGCTCGAGAGCGCTGCTCAGCTGTTGGATGCTCTCATTGGCTCGCTCTGGAATCAATGAAAACACAAAAAAATGTATTAAGAGYGGATATTATCATGGACATGAACTTAGCCATAAAGATCTCTAAAATAAATACCAAAAACAGAGAATCTTTCCTCACCTGTAATTTTTTATTTATTTTTTGCTGTACAAACAAAACTTTGTAGGGATTTGCTGTAGTATTATCATTTCTTATTAACTATAGGAAATCATTATACCTTACTGTATAACAAACTGAAACTATACAAAACAGCAACTTGGGCATGATTCATCTTTAGCCACAATTAAATTAAATTCCCCAAAATTAAAAGGCTCCCCACCCATTTGTGTACATTGAAAAACATTCTGAAGTAAACTTTACAGTCAAACTGGGGCTGTACAATATATTTTAAGTTTTCAATACCATGATACCAGCCTGTGCAATAGGCAAATTGCAAAAAGTTGTATGAACTGCAATAAATGGTTGAATCAAATGTTTGCATTTATGCGTTTCACTCAGATAAACAAAATGGTCCTGAGATAACACATCAAATCATAACCACTTAGTGAGCGGAGAAAATGTTTGACACCTGTAATTTGCAGCTGGATTTAGGTTTAACTTTTATTTTAAATGTTTTAACTTATTTTCAGATGTGTTTTATGATCTATTTGAATAAAAACTGATATCAAGGAGCGTTCATCAGTATTTAGGGCATGTTTCACTGCTATTAGACCATTTCATAATTTAAAAACGTTACAAATGCGCATGCGCGAAGCAGCAGCGCTCCCAGTTTATAAACACTGAGGTTGTGACGGAAACGCCACTGAAACCCATACAAATTGATAAATTTACGSTGTTATACAGACCCGACGTGTTTGSACTAAACTGATTCGTCTTAACCTTTCCTTTAAGATCATAGATGATATTTTTTTTTAAATATCTTTAAGCTAGAAACGCTTTTAGCTTGTTAAATTTGCGTTTCCARCTAAAAATCCAATGACCTGTGTGACCCGGAAAAGTTAGGTTCTGCTATTGCGCATGCGCAAGAAAATCTACAGCATATGTGTGTCTAGTTGAAAATAAAATAAGTCATGTTGCAATGGAAATGATGTATTAGGGTTTTTTTTTCCTAAACTCGGAGCAGGAATACATCAACACTCCATACTTATTTGTTCATTCATCCCAAGTCATGGTGTCATCGCAATATGAAGCATTGTCGCAGGTTTTCCTGAATGCTGCTTTATGAACCTTTTCACTTACGCCTCAGATTTTTATGCTTAGCGCCCAGCTGCTCCTCTTCATCCGAGTCTAACGTTTTCATTGAAATACAGTCGTCATTAATTCACACTGAGAAACAAAATACACTTGCTAAGCTACAACAACAAACACAGGAGCAACCATCAAACGCAGCGCGTAACGTTCAGAAAGGTGATGTTTGTTTTAWGAAACTAGATCGCTGCGAAGGCGGTGTTCTAGTTTATCACGTTGTTTCAATAGGCCCGCCCTCCCTACGCGACCAATACATATTGTAAACGAGGCAACAGCCGAAAACGCCGAGTTTTCCTGAAACAACATGGACTTCTGGGAAATGTAGTAAATTATCGATCCTGGCGTAAGTAAAGTGTAATTTGGCCTCGTTTCCTGTGAGATGAATATTTTTTTAAATCTAAAAATGAATAGTAAGTTGTTCATCATGAAAATTGCACAGTGGGACGTGAGTATTTTATTGAAATTGGACAAAATTTTTCCTAAAAGAGTGGGTTTGCCTTGTTTGAGGCCATTAAATTAGAACACTTGATCATTCGGTTTGATGAAACATGATAATAAACACTACAAGGAATTTATTTGAAAGTTATATTATGATCGCTGCAAGTTTATRGTAAAACCTACAGACACCATCATAATCAATAGGCTGAAATTACTTAAAAATTAGAATAAAAATATTGTTATAGTCAAAGATAAGGTGTGTGAAGAAAACTAATTTCCGAACATGTTCAATAAGAACGTTAATCTAAGTATAATTTTGAGTTTTTCTGCCACCCAGTGGTTAGAAAAAGTACCAAGCCCTTTTGAAAAACATAAATTGATAATTTTCTTAAACAAAATTYTACTTTCTCTTCTAAGCTCAGCTGCATTAGGTGCTGATGCAGAGGTTAGAATGCATTATACTTACTGAAGTTAAAATAAAAATATACCTAATACCTAAAGAGACAACGAGTTTTGGAGCTAAAGAGGGAGCAGATATGCTGTCTTACTTTCACTTCTCTTATTGCCCCATATGACAGTGAGTCACTGGTTGCTCCTGTATGTAAACAGAACAAAGCTGGTTGGGAAGGAGTGGATAGTTGTCATGCAAAACTCACATTGTTTAGCATTTAAAAGGGATGTAAACCGTTTATACATCAATTCTAGGGGAGTTTTTGGAAATCTATTAACAAATATATTGCAAATTGTACATGATTTGTTGTGTTTGCTTAAGTTTTTCTCAAAAAGGACATTCAGAAATTTCAATATTTCTCCAGAGGCAGTTTTGCAAACCTGACTAATACTGATATTTTTATAGAAGGGGAATTTTCTCCTGTAATCTAATCAAGTTTATCCCCACACATTGTTCAACAGGTTGGTTAAATCCATGGCATGAGTCAACCGTCGGTCATGTTAGCAAGATATCTCATAACTTCACAGATTTTAACAAACCTCTTAGAACRTAAACACTGGAATGCTAAGATTAAGCCAAAATTCTGAAAGTATRTAAAGTCAACTTTTTTATCCTCAAGAGTGTTAGGATGTGTTGTGTCATTGCTTTCACTGGAAAGGACCAGCTCATTAATTTTTTTTATTTATTATTTTTTTGTAGGGGGGTCAGACTGTCAGACAAAGGTTACCATGAACACACCAACTTCCTGTTACGCAAGATCAGAAAACTGGCTGTGAAATGAGCCTCGGCCGTAGTTTTGATTTTTGCGACATTTCCGATTTCTAAAGAAGAGACAGTGAGTCAGAGTTTAGTGAATTCATTCACAACACTGATCTAATAGATTTGACATTTTCATTCATAGTTTACTGCTGACAGCTCAGACAGTTTGGCTCATGTGGACTGGAGGTGAGGTGTTGTGTAACTGCACCCTGGAACTGTCAAACTCTATAATTATAGAGAATATTTCTATTTTTGTTTGCACAACAAATGACTGAAGTTAAAAATAAGGCCTACTTTCCCTTTAGGGTCCTAATTATTCTAAGGGTTTTTTTTTTTAATTTTATCATCCAAAAAAGAACGTTTGAACTTTTATTATCTAACAGATCTTCTGTTGTCATATTTTAAAAACATGTGAAATATCATGTTGACACCTTTAGGTCATTTCTGTCTTCAAACAAACAAAACAAAGAATTTAATCTGAAATTACTGTAGTCTAAAAAAAGTGTTTTTTTGTGAAACATGAGGGTAACTATTGTGGTTGGTTGACTAATAGCAGTAAAGCACTTCAAAGAAATAAAGATTTGTTCTGCTTTAGTGTCTGGCATGAAGTTATTTTTCTAAAAAAAAACTACCATATTTATTCATGTATAATACGATCATCATTTCTTGAGCACAAGAAAAGCTAATCATCAATAACCCATGACCCCCCCCCCCCCACACACACACACACACACACACACCTTCTGGATGACTTTTAGGGTGAAATTTCTAGTGTTATACATGAATAAATACAGCATTATTATTGTTTTAAGTTAGCTGCCACGAATCATCTTAAGTTAAATTCTTCTTTTCTTGTTAGAGGTACAGTTTTTCAAGATCATTTTGCATGCTGGGGTATTTCCAGGAAACCGCATCAACCCAAGCCCACGCAGCGCTCTGCAGTCCCACGCTTGTGAAATGTCACTCTGTCCCTGCTGTCGCTTCTTTAACCCGTTCCCCGACTATAACATCTCCCCTCACTCCAAACTCCCCCCTCCCACCGAATGATCTGTTCCTCCAAAGTAAACTGTTTTTTTTTTTAAGTGAGGGTGGGGGATCCCTTCTTTTTTATATACTATAATTAACGTATGACACACTAACAGCATGGAAAGAACTGAATAATAGGTTTTTTTCTTAAGCATGAAATGCTCACCATTTGAACTTTTCTTCTTGGAAATCTAACAAAAGAGAAACAAACAGAGGCGGATGAAGCGGGGTAAGAAAAAAAACGACTTAACCCAGTTCTGCAGTGTAAATGGTGCACTTTGCTTCATCTGAACCAGGCTTCAGAAGTCTGTTAAGTGATGACATTTGATGCACTTCCTACACTAGAGACCCAGCACCAAACATGTTTAGAAAATACACAAATAGCCTCAGATATAATAAGAGCATTATTTAACCTTATTAATCAGCCGTACACCCCAACATTTAGTTGTTTTTGAAAGAATATTATTATAATTTATATATAAGTACACACACAATAAAGTCAAGAACCACAATGGTCAGTTTTCTTATTAAAAATAATTCATTTCAGGACAACATATAAATAATTGTTGAATCACACACAGATATCTTGATATGAATAAATACTTAACAAATAAAACCAGGCTTTTTCATACAATACCCTATTGTCAAAAGAAACTTTCAAAACCATTTGCATTTGTTTTGTTACACTTTCTGCTTGTAAGCCAATACGTTTTCTTTTTTCTTTTTTTTTTTCCACCGATGGAATGTCCCCTACACAAGTCAAGAGTACCATTCCGAAATGCCTCAGCAGCTTAGACAAATCATGTGCAATTTATATGATCTCCACCCGGGCAAAAATAAAAATAAAAAAATTTAAAAAATAAAAAATAAAATAAAAATCAGTCAGAGCCCCCAAAACGCTGTTAGGGGTCCTGATGAGCCGACCACTAATTGGCCTTCCATTGATTAAGGTTCGTCTAGAGGTGATTAAAGCACACAGAGATCTACGCACAGGCCGTCAGCGTGTGGGCTGGCCTGACAGCTTCAGATACAGTTGAATGAAAAGGCRGACCGAGAGCCTGATAGTCATTTCTAACTAAAGCCACAGATGGASATCAACAGCAGAGTAAGTGTTCAGTGGCAGTCTGCTGCAGTGGATATCACACGTTAGTTTGATTAAAATTGTATGCTTGAGGTTATCTGTTAAGATAAATATTTCTTCTTATTTTGAACCAAACACGCTTRTAGAAAGAGCGTTCGCGTGTAGCGTTGCAGAGAGAAATCTTGACATGAAGATGTCCATCTGTGGCACTTYAGCTAGTCTAGAATAACCCAGGCTGGTCATTTTAAGGAGGTAACAACAACTGTTTGGCAACTGATGGCACGTTATTTTTTTCTCTTCTTGTTTTTGTATTTTGGTTAAAAGAAAACCAAACATATCAAAATACGTTAATAAAAAATAAAATCGAAAACCAGCAAAGGAAATAAAAATGTCAGTTCTTTTCTTTTTGTTTGTTTATTCAAGACGCACGTGCAAGTGCGCCTTTTTTTTGTGTTTTATGTTAAAAGATGAGGCATCGGGTTGGAAGGTCCTAACATATGAACTAAGTTCCATATTCACAAAAGCGTTTGTTTTTTTGTTTGTTTTTTTAAAAGGTGGAGGCGCAGATCGAGATCATCGACCAGGCYCCCTATGGTCCATAAAATTATTTAGAACTACTTAAAGGCAAAACTTATCGAGGATCAGCCCCAATAGTGTGCTGTTGCAGAAAAACGGCACGAAACACATTCAGATAAACAAGGTTTGCCGAGGCAGGCAACAGGATTGCTCTCTGAAGTTTGGAAATTGTCACCCTGGTAYGCTGAGCAGAGACTAGCAGAGAAGCGCAAGACTTTGCGGGTTCGTTTGCCTACAAACCACCTCCGGCTGGGGTGAGTGGTGGAGGGGATGGGGGGCATATAATCTCACAGAGCTGTGTTCAGATGTGCAAATGTGTGTATGTGGTGGAAATGTGGGGAGTTATCTAATCTGCCATGCCTTCATACTTTCATAAGGCCTTTGTTTTGTGAACAATCCTCATCTGACGCGACTGGTTATACAACATCTGCGTGTGCATGTCTAGTTTGTGGTTTTTAGGTGCTTAAGTTGCAAGTAAACATGAAAACAATGTCCAAGGCAACAGATCTGTTTTGGAGAAGAGGAGGGTGAAATAAGAGGATAGAAAAAGAAAAAAAAGGGGGGGAGTCCTGTCTCTGTGTTCTCTGCCTTCTGGCCGCTGACATCAGCACGTTGGCTACATCGGAGAGGTTTGTGTTTCTGTACACGKAGCACCAAAACTAGCAGGGGCCAGCCCTGTCTGTCTCGCACTGTTTCGTCACACGAGTTTCTTTGAGCGTTTCCACGTGCTCCTATTTAATTTTACTTGGATAAGTGGCAACGATGATTTTGTTGAAAATATAAACTTGCATTGCCACCGGTAGACCAATGGAAAACGATTGTTTCGTAGAGTCTCTTTTGGCACGACTTTGTTAATAGAGGACATAAATTAAGGATTTTAAGCTAAATAAAAATGTTGATTATAACTTAAATGAATTCCAAACGTGTGACTCGCTCGCCTTGGCTCAGTTTGCCTCACTTCTTCCCACTACTTCCACAGATTTGTCGTTGGGCTTGCCACGCCCCTGCRTCTCTCTCTCGGAGCTAATGCTAGACAGACAGGCAGACAGATACACAGATGGGTTAAAGACGTACAGACAGTTGGGGTAAAAATCCTTGGCTGTGGTCTATAAAGCAATGTCAGATGCTTCTTGTTATGCCAATATACAATCATTTTGTCCGGCACGATTCCCTACGTACCTCTAAATACAGACTGTACACAAGAGTCAGGCCAGTTGCGCTGACATGGAGCCAAACCTCTAACCGTGTGAGAGCACACAGCGAATCAAGATGATCATAAATGCACAGAGAGGTATTCTGGAGGCCATGTCTACYGCAAACACACACACACATACACACTCTCTCTTCACATTCGACATAAGGGTGTTTGATTTTCAGGCCATAAGGTTACTAGTTAGTCACTAGCTACTTAGTTAATTGGTTAGTTAGTATCAGAGGTGCATTGACTGGCATGGGGAGCCCGCGGCAGGGCGGTGGCTGGAACGTGCTACCGGTGTGTCGTCGCTGTTTGCCGCATGTGATCAGCCACGGTAGATCTGTTTGAAGTGGTCGCACTCGTTGCAGTAGCCCTGTTTCTCTTGGTTGGCATAGTGGTCGCAGCCTTGTGTCCGACACCTCTGCTTCGACTTCTCTTTGGGCGCCTGCGCCCGCCTGCCCGCTTCCCGTCCCTGGCCGCGCGTGTGGCACTCCGGGCAGAGGTCTGTGCAACCCGGGGACACGTTGCTGCAGCCACTCCGCCGGCACTGAGTCTGGGTCTGGGATTGCTGCGAAGATCTGGGTTTAGCTGCTCGCTCACGCTGTTTTTTTTTTTTTTTTAAGAAGAGGAGGAGAAAAAAAGGAAATAAGTCAGTTCATAACTAAGTGGGAGGACAAAGATAGACATTGGATAAAATGTGACAAAGACTGAGAAGTAGTTCAAGACAGAGATGTGCACAAGTCTTTTGCAAGTCTAAGTCAAGTCTCTTGACCTCAAGTCCATGTCTCGTTACATGTATTACTTAACTGGCAGTTTGATCAAAGGTATTCTACCTAATCAAAACATAGTATTATGTTTTAATAATACTATTAAAACATAATACTGTTTTAAAAATACAGATAAGTTTAAGGTTGAAATAACAACAATCAAGCATTTAGAGTATTATTAACTGCATTTTGCACTTGTAATCTTACAAGAGCATACTGTAATTATATCTTGCCATTGACAAAGAGCAAATCCAATAAGTCTGCTGCTGATTTTACAATAAAATACCAGAAAAAAGTATTTTTAAATGGATAAAAGCATGTCAGCGAAGATGATGAACCAGAATCCTTAAAGGGAGCCCTGATTAGTTGTAACGTTAGACTTTATTTGATAAATATTTATTTTAAATGTAAAATAAGGACTGGAAAAATACTATAGGCTGTTTAGTTTTTATCGTTTTTAAACTAAAAGTTTAAAAATATATTACACGGACGATGCCATTTTATTTACACGCAAAGCATTCTGGGTAAATGGTGACGTGGATAGGTCCTCGGCTGCTAGCGAGCTATATCCACCCTGAAGGTTAATCTTGGACAATATCTGATGATCGACTCAAATGAAACCAGAGGG